TATGTTGAACAGTTACCTTTTGTATTTTGGAATTACATATATTCTAACTACTAATTCATGTAGCTATATATTAATAACTGCTTCCCTGATTTTCATTATTCAATTCCTTAAACCTTAAACTCTAAGCGTGAATCTTGGCTGTATGCTCAACGTCTAATGGAGATTGCTTTCACAAATTTAGTCGTTCTTTTCTCACAAACAAGGATCTTGTTGGCTTTCGCGGTCTTTAAACGAACTTGCTTTTTCCATGACAAATAATAGGATATCCACATGCACTCCCAGGTCTCTTAATTCGTGCTTGCAATGCTCGAGCTGAGTAGTGTTTTGTCTACGAAATGTGAGGTCACGATTGGTTTTCTTTTTCTTGATATGGTTTGAACCTTGCATTTTCTCTCGTTGAATGACGTACCAGAAGAAGAAGACCAGGCTTCGACATTGTTTAAGTCCTGTTGTAGAAGTCAGTTGTCTGTTATGTTGGATATATGCTTGAACAGTTGGTGTCGTCGGCGAAGGGCCGAAGGAAGCTACTGATGATGAAGTTACGATGTCTGGTAGATCATTGACGTAAATTAGGAACATAAGCGGTCCTAAGAGCAATCCTTGTAGTACACCAGAAGTCACAGGCAAAAACGTAGATGTTGATCCAAGCACTGTAACCTGTTCGGTTGACGATGCTGACGTACGACTGGAACCAAGAAAGCAGGCTGTTATTGAATCCAAAACTACGCAGTTTATCAATCAACTTGGAATGGTTTACCCTGTCGAATGCCTTAGACATGTCAAGGTAAACGATGTCTGTCTGCTCTCCTTGATCCAGAAGCTTTCCAATCGTGCCCACAACTTCGATAGGTTGTGTTGTGCATGATTACGCACAGCCGTATTCACAACCGTTAACGATATTTCGCAGATGAACTCTGATGTGGATTAATACACAACGTTCCAACAACTTTGAGACAATGCATATAGAGGGAGATTGGTCTCTAATGTTCTACCCGTTCTCTTTATCTCCTTTAAATACTGGAACAACGTTGGCTTCTCACTCGTCTGGAACGACGTCGACCCGTAGAGATTCATTGAACATATGTACAGGAGGGTAATAAATTGATGGAGCTAGCAATTACATCAGCAGTTGCAGTTGCTCTCAGAACTCATTCAGAGATTTCGTTTGGCCCCAAAACTTTACTTTGATCGAGAGATTTCAGAGTGGCAAGAACTTCGCTTTCAGACAGTATTAGTTCATTCAAGCCAGATTCTAAAACTATATCATTGGTTGTCGCTGTACTCGAGAAGACTTGTCGGGCGAAATTGTTCTTTAATTAAAGAACAAATGAACATTGAAGCGAAGTAACTATTGAATGTATTATCGATAGTCTTGGGGATTTTGGCCACTTTGGTGTGGTTTCTAGTTGACCAGGATACAGCCTGCTGGAACTGCTAGTTTTAGATTTTAATTTAAACAAATTCCAACTGAAAATATACAAACTGTTCTCCTTCTCCAGACTGTTCAAGTACCGTTCACGACTTTCTCGTAATAGTTGTTCAACTTTAGCTCGACGTTTCTTGAATTTATCCCGCAAATAGAATGTAAGAGAACGAGCAAGTTTGCGTCGGACAGTCTCTTTTTTTTCTTTAACAAATGCCGGATTTCGCTGTTAAGCCAAGGCGTGCTACATTTCTTCCAAGCTTAATACTCATAAACAATTGACTTTCTAGCTGAGCATAATTTTTAACAAGTCTCTGAGAAATAGTGTCTTAGTGCACACTAATTTGACGTGGTCGGCTTGCCTTTTGATTACTACAGCACTTGACTCTAAATCGTTTGTCAATAGTCAAGTATATTAGCGGCGTTGATGCAGCGCTGGTGTGTGCTCCGACGAGACAAGCAAAATAAACACAAGAATGGAATGAAATTACATTTGCTGCTGTCAATGCCGCTGAAATACCAAATGGAATCCAACATATACAATAACAGAAAACCATTACGTATGCTTGTTTATTAAAGCTTACTACCTTTACTTTTGACATGTTATGTAATGCTTGTTGTGTTTGTTCACGATGCTGTTTCAATTTAGAAGCAACTCCACTGAGGGATTTTCTGATGATTCTAGCACACACTGTAATCCAAATAGTGACTAGCACTATCAAAGAAAAGAAAGATGCAGTTTCTTCATGAGTAGGGGCTTGGTCTATATTCGTTTCACAAATGCGGCCAATGCTTTGTTTGTCCGCGAGATAAAACCCTGACATAAAAGCAGGTACAAGTACCAGTGATAGAATCCAATTGGCCGCCGTGACTTTTAGGGACAATGAAAAACTGAAGAGTCGATTTGCTGGAAACTTGACGATGTTCTCATAGAGAATGTAACATAAAGCAGCCATTGACGTGAGATTGTTGAAAAGAGAAATAAAACTGACCTGCTGATAAAAACCACAGTATGTTTGAGCAGATGGAATAACATTCCCTCTCCCCAGTATTTCTCCAAGCAAGCTGCCAAACAAAGAAAAAAGATTCGCAACTATGATATTCAACAAATGGAGTTTGTCACACCTTCTGCCAGATGCCAATTTTTTCAAGACAAGATGAAGTAAGACAAAATTAGCGATTAGTCCGATAAACAAGATATTCGAAGCAACAACGGCTATGACAGTGGCTGCATAACATTTGTAAAGATTTGTTCCATTCCTATTATAGGTCATGTTCTTTGCGTTCATCATTATTCATGCAGGCACTTCTACAGTTCTAGGATTTATAAAGCTTTCATCAGCTTTTTATATCAACTGAAAACAAAAATATCATGAATATTAATATTATAAAAGTAAAGATTTCGCACTTAAGATATGACAGATGCCTTTAATTTTTAAATCTCTTTTGACACTCAAAGGTCTCAGAGGTCTGAATTAATGAGGTTGTCTTTTAAGTTTACCGCTAATCTGGCATATTTAAAAGCCTCAGCTTCAGGTTTAGCTAATAGCCTATAATTAGTACATCTGCGATTACGCCTATACGCCTACGGCGTGAGAAACCTTTTTTTTAATTATAAGTATAAATGTAGTCACCACGTATCTTCAGCCGCCTAATTGCTTCACTTCACTTTATCAATACACAATTATACTAGTTTCCAGCACAAATATAAAGGTATATAATACTGAGAAAAACCTCAAACAGGAGAGAATTCCCGAAACACAAAGTTACTTTAGTTAATAATTAATAAAGCAAGTAAAATTATCAATATTAAAAATGAAAAAAGTTAGAGCGTAATAGAGGTAGCTGCCAGTAAACGAGTCTTAAAGTGCATATAGTTTAAATGTATTATATATTAATTGAATCAGCTTTGTCAGAGCCTATAGGGCAAGAACCAATTTCACCGAACGGTCACGTTTCTCCGCTGCTTTGCCCAATTTTCCTCGAGTAGATCATCGTGTTTTAAGTCAAGGATTATGTATACTTTAACATGAAAGAATAAAAAAAGTGGTGATAAAGGGTAGATTTTGAATAAAATACGAATATCTGTATACAAGATCTGAGCGTTATTATGAAGCACTCGATACTTTCTCCAACAACATATGGCGCTTATTTTTTTACAAAATTAAAAATATTCACACATTAAAGATATGAAAATGTAGCTTGCATTACAAAGAAATGTTGGCTTACCTAAGTTATACCTTACACTTCGATTAAAGTCAAGTAAAGCCCTTTCAAAGACGCGTGCCACATGAATTATCCTGTGAATTATGATGCCCAACACACCTGATAACAAATTTTACCACTTTGTTCGCCGTTCGCAGTGTATCTTAAAGTACACTTTTAAGATACAAGGTCCGATTATATCATGTTCTTCGAAGCATCTGCTCAAAACAGTGCAACATAAATATCGCCACTCATCTTCTTCGTATGAAAATATAAGTTTTCTTTTCAAAAACAGTCATTAGGTTGTTGAAGAGTTAGTATATAACTTCCAAAACAGATTATCCCATTGCTTTCAAAAACCAGTGAATCACAATGCAGAAAACTTCAACATACTTAGAAATTGCATGTAAGCCAAACATCGAAAAACAAAATTTGCGGGAAAAAGCTCACGAGCACGCACTATTTTTATGCAGCGTCGACGAAAGTCCACCCTGTTATACCTACACACATGTGCTCACTTCCAATAATCTCGCACCCCCCCTGATCCAATGTTCTATACTTCATGTAAAATCAACATAACATGACTCAGAACTTGTTATCAAGTTGACAGAAGTTGTTGAACAAGTCTCAGGTCGATTTTTTAAGAATTCGTCCGTGGGGGGGAGGGGGAGTTGGCATTTGCAAAAAAGGGCTATACTACACTGAGTGTGGACAAATGGTTGCAGCTACGTAGCGACCGGGAGTGTGGCGGTTGGGGGGGGGGGTGAACCCCCAAACTGTGAAACTCAAGTAAAAATCAGCTGGTAAAATTCTAGTTAAAATTTTGACATTTTCAGGTACAATTCGCGTAATAAAGTCGTTATTTTTGTAAAATGTTAATTAACCGTTTTTGTAAAATGCAGTCAATTTAGATCCTATTCGTTTGCGAATTTGCTTTAGAAAACGGCAGAAATGCAGTCTTGGAGCTTCGAAAATCTAACAATTTTCCCCAGACCCCCTTTCCTTCGGAAACTGATGACAGTCGAAATCAGTCAGAAAAAAAGATCTATTATAATTAATACACTTAGGCCCTAATTAACATCGAAGTTCAAAATTCAGCTAAAATCCTCCGGCAACCACCTCTCCCCCCAACTTCAGATGCTTTGCTACGTCCCTGGATGGTTGTTGTTCACCAAAACGTTTGCTGTGGTGTCGACGTATGTAGTAGTAGGGGGTATTTTGTATTTTCCCACCCCTAGGACTGCATTTCGTGCGTTTTCTAAAACAGATTTTTGGATGTACAGCGTTTAAATTACACTGTGCATAGACAGAATCTTCAGTAGTTAATTAAGTACTTGCATGCATGGCATGTTTAACACCCCTAGGACTGCATTTTTCGTGCGTCTTCTAAGACAGATTTTTGGATGTACAGCATTTACATTATACTGTGCATAGACAGAATCTTCAGTAGTTAAGTACTTGCATGGCATGTTTTTGTAAATACCTCAACTCGATCACTAACTTGTTTAGCTTAGCCTTCCAACACCTCAAATCTATAGGGTCTGGGATATGTTATCCACTAGCAAATTCTAAGGTATATATATATAATATATATATATATATATATATATATATATATATATATATATATATATATATATATATATATATATATATATATATATATATATATATATATATGAAGATAAAAGACAGGACATTAAGATTCACAAAGCAAGGTTCGGTTACTAGAATGTCAAACCTCCCCCCTAAATTCCATTTTTCTTCCAATGTTTTGCTTATATTTTAGAGAAAAGGGACTTTGACGGGGGAGGGAGCACAATGGTAAAGGGGCTTTAGGCCGCTCCCAGTTATATAGTTCTAAAAGGCCCTGACCAGTGTGCAAGTTGAATCTACAATCTTGTACCAAGTTTTCAACAAGCCGTTGACAACAAGCTTGTAAACAAGCTGGAAACAAGCTGTGCGAACACATCTTGATGACAAGTTAGTTGTTGCAACAGCATTAATTAATGCTATTTGCCAGGGGCCGGTTGTATAAAAAAGTGATTAAAGTTAACTATAGTTAAGTGCAAATGTCATCCAATAAGAAGCGCCTATTTGAGAGTTGATCACTATTTAACTACAAAATAGTGATTAAAAAAGTGATTAAGAGTTACAACCGGCCCCAGAAATTTGCTGCAGGTTTGTTACAACTTGTGGATTTTCACGTGTGCACACGCGTAAAAGTCTTACCTTTGTGGAAAAGTCTGTCAACATGTTATAAACAAGTTGTGTTCGCACTGCTTGTCCCAAGTTGTCAACAAGTTTGGAACAAAATGTGAACAACTTGTAAAAACCTTGATGATATTATCAGACTTGTGGCAAGGTTGTTCCAATAAAGTCTATAATAGATCTGGACTGCCAGCAGTCCCTCCTTAGAAGGAAAGGAGGGACTGCCGACAACACATCAAGAAACGAAATACGCCAACTTTTCGCACCGCCCCTTAGGTCCAATATAATTATTTTGGCATTGAAAGCAAGTAACTATTTATATCGCGTATCGTATTGTTTTAAAAGTAAAAACTCAAGTTTACATGCAGAAAACGACAATGTTTACGTTCAACAAGCTAAAATACATAGTATTACTTAAATCAGCTGTATTCGAAATAACATACTAAATGCCTTTAGAGAGTATATGAATAAAATGCTTCAAGATTTTATTAATATGACATAATCAATACATTTAATTTATATGTTAATTAACGTTTTCAAAATTAAAAAAAAAAAGATCTGGGGCCGGTTATTGATTTCTATTTGGTTGACTAATGGTGTCCAAAGATACATATGACTACTAGCTAGTATGCTATTTCTACGATGCGTGGTGGTTTATATCTTGGTTTTCTCGTTGGACATATATTCGTTTACAACGGGTGGGCTCACTGGCCCATCGATTTTGTCGTATAATATATCGGACTCGAAGCAAATTAGGAGCTGTGATTCCCAGCAGGAGCTTGTGAATATGTTGGAAAATACTTATAGACTAAGGGGAAGGCGTGGAGGAGTTAAAACAAAGTTTAGGAAGAGGCATAATATTCCTGTTCACTATACTCCGTGTACAAAAAGGTCCAAATTTGAATATTCAAATTCCAACACTAAAGGAGTTAACTTTTCGAATCTAATTAAACTAGTATAACAAAAAGTTAGTGAAATTGCTGCCGTAGGTGTATTCGCGTTGCGAACAAGTTAGCGCTTAACTTTGATTACCTTATGTTTGACATGGAGGCCTGGTTACCAATCGCGTCTCAACGTCAGTGTTACATGACCGTAATGGCGTAATTCGTAATCAAAATGACGCCATGGTGCTAAACAGTGTGCTGAGAGGCATTCACCCCCTGATAATATTCAAAATGGTGGACCTCTATAAGCGCACTGGGTAGGACCATGGCATCAGCATTTTGATGATGAATCATGTGGCAGCCAGGGGCGTAACGTTATATCAGGGGGCCCCCGGTTCAAAATTTTCGAAGCCCCTCCCCCTTAGTAGAAGTGCCAAAGGCACGAGTTAAACGCCATATATGCACAAGTTTTCTAGGGGTCCAGGGCATGCTCAGCCGGAAAATGTTTGAATCTAGAGTCTCTGAAATGCCATTTCCCGGACCAAAGGGAGAGATTTTACAGAATTCTGATGGTCAGAAAACGACATTGTGCCCCGCCCCCCGAATATAAGACCACTAAATATAAGTCCCCCGAATATAAGCCCAGTAGCCCACTA